AACAAATCCGAGAAGTAGATTCAGATTTATTGGTTGAGGATAGAAGACTTGGAGCCCATGTTAATCCTTTTCTGGTAAATTTCCGTGGTTGTCCAAACCCAAACGAGTCGCTTGAGATTGCAGACACCACTTCTTCTGGGAGTCGGTTCCAAGAGTTTGTGACTCGGTGTGAGAACCAGTACTCAACAGCAATATGATTTCTCTTGGCTTTTGAACTCTCCTGCTATGTCCTCTAAGGTGTTCCAACCTGACGGGAAGGAAAACAGAGAATAGGTCAGGTTCGTAGTCACTATTTAAAATTTTAAACACTGTGATTAAATCTCATCTCTGCCTATGGTATGACAGGGAAGAAGTGCTTTAAACTATCTAGTCTTTCCTCGTATGATAAGTTAGTCATGCCATGAACCATACGTGTTGCGTTCATTTGAACCCTTTCTAGAATGCGTGAGTCCCCTCTTAGACAAGGACTGGCAGCCTTGATGCAGTTTTCCAGTCTTGACCTCACCAGATATATATATATATATATATAGGGAGGTGAACATATCTCTGGTGATTCTAGTAAAGGCTCTGCAAATTGCCCATAAGGACCTGAAATTACGTGCAGCCCCCGCGCGACAGCGTTCTATAGTTTTTACGTCGCGGCTAACTATGACAACTAAGTCTAAGTGAGTCTGAACTGATGGAAGTGTTATTCCCTCTAGTTCGTAGGAGCTGGTGCTTGCTTGTCCAATGCGCATGGTTGCACATTTCGCCACATTTATCGGGAGTATCCATTCTATGGACCACTCTGACAATTTGTTGAGGTCCTCTTGCAACGTGAACGCATCACTGTTGCCCTTCAGCTCTCTCCAAATTTTTAAGTCATCTTCGTATAGGACCATAGGGGAGTCGGTGAGCAGAGATAACTCATTCATATACAGAATAAATAGGAGAGGACCGAATACCGTGCCTTGTGGCACTCCGCTACGTACTGCTGTCCAAGAGGAGAATTTCGAGTTGATCCTAACCCTCTGCCTCCTATCTATGAGGAATTCCCTGAGGCAGTTAAATAGTCTGCCTTTGATACCAAGACTTTCCAACTTCATGAGTAGTCTTTTGTGAGGTACTTTATCAAAGGCTTTGCTGAAGTCTATGAAGACGACGTCAACGGGTCTTCAGCTGTCCCTTGAATTGACCCAGCTTTCTTATGCGGTAAGGAGATTTGACAGGCATGAGAGGTTACTACAGAAGCCATGCTGTGCTCTAGATAACAAGCTGCTGTTTTTCAGATATGCTATGATGCCTTTCTTGATGATTCTTTCAAGTGTCCGGTGAGACTAATACTCCTGTAATTAGATGGGCTTTGTCCTGATCCTTCCTAGTGGATGGGGGTTACCATGGAGTCTTTCCAGTCAAGCGGTAACACTCCATTTAGGAGAGATGGCTTGAAGATCTTGGTCAGTGGGCCGGCTATGTGAGCTGATAGCTCCTTGAGAAGCCTTGGATGAAGATTATCAGGACCCGTTGATCTCCTTGCATTGAATTTCATTAGGAAGTTGAGCACGATGCCGCGGTTGATGTCAGCGGAATCTACCCCGTATTCCTCTGATGAAGCCAGAGCTGATCCTATAGGGGGTGATGACTCCTGAGCGAAGACTTTGAGAAGTAGTCCGCAATCGCTTCTGCTTTTTATTGATCTTCTCCGATTGTATCATTGTCAGTATTCAGGTTTGGGACACCACTGGATGCTTTATTCCTGAAGTTTCTGTACGAGAAAATTTTCTCAGGTTGTGCCTTTGTATTTTGAGCCAGATGTGCTTCGAACTTCATCCTTGATTGGCGGATTTCTGGAATAGCTTTATTTCTAGCAGTGCTGTCTAATTTCCTGGTCTTAGAAGTCTCAAGTGTGGCAAACAGGTTCCAACATTTGTGTTTACGTCTGAGTAACTTACGAACCTATCGGTTTATCCAAGGGGGCAATGTTTCCGACCCTTAGAGACAGACCAAAGGATAAAAGGTTCAGTTACTTGGGCGTAAATTTGTTCAAATTGGCTCCATGCGGCTTCTACTTGGGACTCTGGGTTGACGTATCAGTTTACTGAGTTGGCTGCTGAGGCGATTTCCCCGACTTATCAAATCACTTAAGCACTGATACTCAATACAAAATCATGATATGAAATAAAATAAATAAATAAATACAAATCTGAATATATCTATGGGTTTGTGAGTAGAAGGTCAGTGTGAGGAGTACAACAATGCCTACGCAACTTTACACTTTATGTATAGGCAGCTGGGAGCTCTTACTCCCGAACTGTTAATAATAATAATAATGTATATTCTCATATAAACATATAAATTAAGGTTATATAAGACATATGTGAGGCCACACCTTGAGGTGCATAATATCATTGCTCCTCCGCTACTCAAAAGGGACGCTAACATTCTAGAAAGTGTCCAGAGACAAGCGACAAAATGGGTGATCGACCTCCGTAACAAATCATACGAGGAAACACTAAAGAAACTAGATCTTTTCACACTTAGTTACCGTAGGCACAGGAGGGACCTCATCACCGTCTACCAGATCTTAAATGACTAGGCCAGCCCAAATAAAAGCATCCCGCCATTAAGTGATTATAGGCTTCCACGAGGTAACCCACTAAGGATAGCACACCACAGACCAAAGACTCGAGTGCGATCACATTTCTTTTCGCTTCGAGTTTGCCGTCACTGGAACGCTTTATCGGCGGCCGTGACTACAGCGCCATCTCTGGAGATTTTTAAGTGGAAGCTAGACAATCATGCAGAAATGCAAGGTTTGTGTCTCAGTGGCTTCTCCTCATAAAACTTAAAACCACTCTGTCAGTGGATGAGCATACAAACTAAATCCCCACGACCTGTTCTGCTTTCTCTCACTGTATCGACTACCCTATCTTTTCCTTTGGTTACCTTTATTATTTCACTTATCTCAACCCATATTATCTATTCAGTCATAGAAAAGAAAAGGTGTTCAGCAAAAAGTTACTCTTTTCGGCGATATCATTCTCAAGCTGTACAAATCGCAAATTTATAGTAATTTGTCTTGGCAACAAAAGGAATATTTCCAAAGATGTGTTAATGCAATTGTTAATTTTTGACAAACAAATTACGTAATTTAGAAGGCGTTAATCGGTTAGAAACCAAAATAAAGTTACAAAAGTAGGTTGGGTGACGTAATCTAATTGATAGGGTTCAATGAAAAAATGAATGAGAGTCAAGTTAATAATCTGAGTAGAATTCACTTGGAAATGAATGAGAGTTAAGTTAATAAGCTGAGTAGAATTCATTTAAAAATAAACGAAAATCGAGTTAGCAACAGTCGTCAAGAGCGTAGAGATTTAATAGAGGGTGGGGGTAGAAAATAATGCAATTAAGAAATAGACAAACAAAGAAGAAAGAGGTAAGACAAAATTACATATTTGGTGTTAAGATAGATCAGGACCATTGTAGATTTAGTGACTGAACAAACTTCTTTTGTATGCAGAGTTCAGGATTCAATATGTGAATTGCCATTGCTCCTGCGGTTTGAAGAGGTTTAATTCGTACTCTTTTGGCAAGATTCCCACGTATTGTGTAGATAACTGAGAAGTTGTTTTGTGGCTTTGCTCGGTGTCCGGATTCGGTCAAGTGTTCTAGGATAGAGCTGTGGCGGGGGGATCTTCTTTCTCCTTTATAAAACCATGAAGGTAAGTGTTCGCTGATTCGTTTGGATAGCAAACGCTTTGTTTGTCTATTTCTTAATTGCATTATTTTCTACCCCCACCCTCTATTAAATCTCTACGCTCTTGACGACTGTTGCTAACTCGATTTTCGTTTATTTTTAAATGAATTCTACTCAGCTTATTAACTTAACTCTCATTCATTTCCAAGTGAATTCTACTCAGATTATTAACTTGACTCTCATTCATTTTTTCATTGAACCCTATCAATTAGATTACGTCACCCAACCTACTTTTGTAACTTTATTTTGGTTTCTAACCGATTAACGCCTTCTAAATTACGTAATTTGTTTGTCAAAAATTAACAATTGCATTAACACATCTTTGGAAATATTCCTTTTGTTGCCAAGACAAATTACTATAAATTTGCGATTTGTACAGCTTGAGAATGATATCGCCGAAAAGAGTAACTTTTTGCTGAACACCTTTTCTTTTCCATATTATCTACACTACAACCTATTATTATTACTACTCTGCTTTTATGACTACATCGAATGACCAACGGGAGCTAGGTCAAACTCCATTTACGGCAGCAACACAGTCCTAACATACTGCATACTACAAACCAGATGTTGACCAATCCCCGCACCACTCCTCTTGGAGTCTACTAGAGCTAAAGCAGTCGAGTGGCGGGACTTACTACGTAGAAGCTCACCGAAGACCTGGAACCTCTACCTTACAATCAAGAAGGGATATCAAAGAAATCACTGGTTTATACTAGTTCGTAATCAGGATATTGGGTATTGGATATTGGACAATCGCGGTTAAATTATATTTTTGCGGTGTAATACATGGGAAAAGCCTTTTGGGGACTTATGTGGCTTATATCTTGGTTTGTTTTAGATTTTTAAGCATTACTAGTCTCTTTAATTGACTTTTACACATGTAAATATATTTTTTGTATAACAGTCGATATGATAACTTACGTTTTCTCTACGTCACTAATTTTAGATTCCTGTGTCGACCGATTCTACTTCTACCAACCTTGCTCACGCTCAACTGCACATTTATCACAGTTACTTGTAGGCTAAATGGAAGCCTGTTAGCAGGTAATTGTCGTTCCGAAGAATAATCCATAGCTAGTGTTCAACGTTTCGGGTCGAGTCAACATATATTGTTCAGATTCTCAAGAAAAAACTCAATCATCTTCAAGTCCTTTTCCTTCATCAGTTGACGGCATTGTTTGGTCCATTTCCATCGCCGTTTAATTTTGGATCTTCTCAACTCAGTTGCTTTGCTTGAAGTTTTGCAACTATTATTACAACAATGGACTCGTCACCGGAGATGGAGAAGTTTGGCGTATCGGATTTCGAATATGAACAAATGATGGATCCTCTAAGACGTCGAATGAAACAAACGAAGAAGCAGACAATATACGGTGTCTTCGCATCGGATGATTCTGATTCTGAGGCCGAACAAAGTGGCTTTGGTAGACGGGATGCTGGTCTCAAGCGTAAGGGTGCCAATTATTCAGCACCGATCACCTTTGTCAGTGGTGGACTGAAGGTAGGGTCTAATTATGTAAAGAGGCAGGCAAGGCGATAGTTAGTGGAAATCGATGACAGGCTAGCTAACTTCAGTGATCCCGAATCTTTAGAGGAATTAATAAATCTGTCAAATTAAGGTTATAACGACATCTCTTAATCGTATGGCATTCGCTTCCTGTAATGCTGTGTTTGGCTGACAATTCGGAGCAATTCCGCTGGAGTGAGCGCTGTATATGTTTGTTATGTCTTAAGACCTATAAACACTCAGAAACGTAAGGACATCACAGGTCGTTTACTTGGCCTCACTGCGTTATTCTTGGCTTTTCTGGTGTAAAAACATCACAGTTAAGTATTTTTGGATCATTCTATGTTATGTTGGCTGAAAGCCGATAAGTAGCATGTAGATGCCCTGAAAATTTTTATAGTTGATACGATTTATCGTCGAAACAATTACTTACCATTGTCTTACTCTTTGCTGTTGCATTTAGCGCAGAGTTTTAGTTTTAATTGTAATACATATTTCACATAACTGCATATATAAATAGGCAAATTTCCATAAAAATTCCCTAAAGTTGTCAACAATGTTTCGTTATATTTTTCCCGTTAATTGTCTAGAAACAATTATTTGCATTTCTAAAAGTACAGGATATTGTCATTGTATATGCCATCTTCGGGCTGGTTCCTGTTTTGCTAAGAGGTTAAATAGCACTGAATTATTGGAATACTTAAATTGATTAGGTTTGTCTGTTAGATTTTTTCGCTATTATATTATTCCTGATAACCAAGCTGACATGAAAGTTCCGCCTACTAAATCAGTACTCTTTTTTCTCTTATCTCTCCAGGTCGGTAGTTTAAGCGCTTCAGATGATAAGAAAAAAACTGAAGGTGAGGATTCAGATCCAATTACGGATGAAGAAGACGATAAACACGTGTTAAGTAGCTTACAGCCCCTTCACGACTCAGACTCAGATTTCTCGGATTCTCATGTAAGCTACCAGTCAAATAAACCAGCTAATATACATGTTGGCTCTGCACGCCGTGCAGCGATGGCAGCTGCAGGTTCAAAGTCAGCAGCTTCCGGTTTCGGTGCTTGGGAAAAACATACAAAGGGTATTGGAATGAAGCTTTTAGAACAGATGGGTTATGAACCGGGCAAAGGTCTAGGATCGGAGGGTCAAGGAATTGTAACCCCAGTTGAAGCTGTACAGCGAGTGGGAAAAGTGTCTGTGGGGTTTTATGGACCAGAGAAGACTGCCGCTCCTCGTCGTGGTAATGAAGCTGTTACAGAAAAACCAAATTCTGGTATGTCTGTTTAATTTATATTAACTTTTCTCGTACAGTTTTGAAAGGGTTGTAACTAAGTGAATACAAATTCATGCCATCTCTGTGATGTTTGAATAGTTTGTTTTATTATTATTGCACACAACATCAAGCAGTCTGTTGTTGTCTTTATTCTTCTATGGGTTTATACTAGCAAAGTAGTGCATACAGTATTCTTTTTCAGAAGTTTTAACATAACATAACATAAGCTTTATTCCAAATCAGTACTTGTGATACAGAATGGAATTCTCAGCATTTTACTACAATATTGCATCCAGTTTTTTACATTAACAATAAATAAAGTTCTACATAGATTAAAGTTATCTCAACAACATATTAGTATGTCGGTAGCAAAGCCAAAATTAAAGTGTCTGAAGGTGTTAGAAAAGTAGATACTACTAGCATATTTTTACTGGCGTAAGCAATAGCAAAATGGTCGAGATATACAGTGTGAAAGAACGAACAAGAATGTTTTAAGTAGAGTTTGCAAGGAAGAGAGAAACAAAACATCACATAACAAAAATAAAATACAGAATGAAGAGCGAGAAAAGTTAATAATTTCAACTGATAAAACTCCTATGCTATTTAGTATCGTTCATAAAGTTTATTACTATTTTTATCATTCCTTTGCGTTCCAAGTGGGACATAAGGTTCCCAGCTTTTAAGTTGCAGTAACGATAGTGTTGCTTTTTATGGAATGGGGTCACTAGCCTCACACGTAACATCCCCTCCTTTCAGAGCGTGTTATCGGTTCATCGACTAAGAGTCGAACCCCTGGACCTCTGGCATGGTTGGCGAGTATTCCACCACTTAACCGCCGATTACATTTTTGGCAATAAATGCTGTTTATTTGTAATCACGATAGCATTCTTCTTTTTTATTTTTCTGTACATTAAATTTTGTATTTCGTAGCTACTCAAAGAATTGAAAACAGTTTCAGAGAAAGTGCACTGAGGCGGGGGTAGCTGTTTTAAAATGAATTGATTGCAGTCGTCAATCACTTTTGAATTCCGCTACTGATAATAGAACAACGTATTTTATTGAGTTGTACTCAGAAAGGTTGTGTTTAAAATTCAAAACAAGAATGATAATTTTTTCCTAAGGTGTACAGTTATGAATCCATAAACATCATCATACAATAGCTAGTGATGGCTAAACAAAATTATATCAGAAACTGCTGCGGTGGATAGAATCAACTGTGCTTGAATTAAAAGTTGGAATATCAGACAATTTTGACAGTGATTTAGATGCCTGTAATATGTACAGTCAATAAAAATATGAGATGTTACTACTCGGTGCTTGTGAAATTATAGTCCACAAAGTGTAGGTTTCAATGTGTTAGTTAGAATCATTAGATTAGGAGAATATATGAATATAACAGACGAATAAGCTTCTTTCGACAATTATAGTTATGAAATAAATAATATTTTGAAGGGGAACAAGCATTTTGGAATTGCATTTCAACTGTGGCATTTTTTGTGAAATACAGTCCACGCTGTTCAAGTTGATTGTACGCGTATCACCTAAAACAAAGACTTCTATTTGTTTTTAGGACCATTATCAGTGATCCATATATATTCAGCAGTCTGTCACTGTTTCAGTCTGTTGATATTTTCAGTCGAATTCGTATTGATTTCTCTGTACCTTTTCTCTCTTTTATGTTTCCAGTAGGTGGGCCACGTTACAAAAAGAAACCAGGAGCACAGCGTAATCAGACAACTAAACCAGCTTATGAGTATAAAACAGCCGACGAGATAGTTGCAGATCTTTGTCCGGCGACCCCTGCAGCTGCTGTGAAACGACATGGAATATTTCTTGAAAACAGGTAGGGGCACAGTGTTATATATATCATTGAGTGTAAATGCACCACTAACTTTTTCTGTACTGCTTGACTCTACTGTTTAAGTTTGACGCTAGGCAGCTGTTACATAAACACGTTCTCAGCAGTAGCACCATTTTTGAAATTGACTCAGTCGTGTACATTAATTCTATGTGCGCCCAATGCAACTTCATCTAATAAATCTAGACACTCCATTAGTTTTTATTTCTTTCCAGCCGCCAACACCAAATCAGTAGTTCCTAGGATACTTACCTCAGCGTCTGAATAAAATGGATCGCTACCTGCAACAGGCTTATAAGTGCAAGTGGTTATGTAGTAGGTTTAGTAAGTTCTTCACTTTAGCGTCATTCTTAAGAAAATGGTACCAAATTGTTCATTTGTGTAGGCCCTTGTATCAGTACTTTTTTCCTTATTTGCTGTCTTATTTGTTATAAAGGATTGAGTTTGGGAAATTTACCACAATTTTCCAAGCGAATTTATAAGACTATATATATATATATGTCTGGTTGAAGGTACATTTTTCCCAAGTGTTTTAGTTTTACAGTTAAGCACTTTTCCGTTCATTTTCGATTGTATACTATTGTAAAATTACGCATCTTTTTCCTTAGTGAACTATCTAAAGTGAAAGTAATAGATATGACAAGTAAAGAACAAAAAGTTTATTCAGGTTATGAAGCCGCCTTATCTCGTGTTGTCCAAAAACGTCGAAAGCCAGGAGATGATTCTACTCTGTCAGATGATGAAGGTCCAGATGCTAGTGGCAAACAGGTTGAAAAACGTTTAGAGGGAACCTTTTTTGATTGCCCTGCACTACGGCATAATTTCGCCTTGGTTATGCGAACTGCTGAGGATGAGATTAGAAAGTACGACAGTGCTGCAAGATTTGAAGAAGATCGTGCAGTTGGTTTGGAGCATGAAATTGAAAAATTAACAGAAGTAGGTGCATTTTCCCTTTTTTGTTATTGTTGCTGTTGCTTCAAATGACTTTGTTTTATGATGGAAGCCCCCGTACACTTTTATATCTTGATAGTAGAATTAAGTAAAGCAGTATGCATGAGTTGATTAAGCCAAAACTAACAACTTAAATATACCACTAGCAAAGAGAGTTATTCAAGACTTAAGATTTTCTTGTTATATTAAGGTTAATGTATGTTATATTTGTTGCGTTGAGTATTTCCTAGTACTGTGTATATTCTGCCGTATTTTTTGGAATTTTATATGTTATATATATATATTAGTAAGTGGCATTTCTTTAATTTTAAACTGGACAAAACACGAAATGTACTCATTTTTCCATTAGGAAAAACGGTTTTTCAAAAAAAAGCAATAAATGTTAATAAAGCAGGATTTAATGAATTCATCAAATTTCGGTAGAACTCGTCACCTGAATACTCCACATACACGGATATATACACTTTTGAAATTATATTGGGACATATAAGACGGATAAGTAAACAAACTACATTGGATTAGTCATGCAGAAAGACAGGTGCGAATGTTTTCCAGGTCATGTCCAAATAGATAAGGGAAGAGAGAGTATGAGAAATCAAAATTAAGATAAATTGCATTACGCTTTAATTACTTCACTCAGATAAACAATTAGACATTAGAGAATATAACAAGAATTGCAAACAGAGTAATATCAGTAGTAATAGTTATGATAATAATAGTGTTGAAGTGAGTTAAGATAATCCTAATGATAAAGGATAGTTTTAAACGAATCAAGAATAATAATAATCATAAGAGGTAGAATAATAAGTAAAACGCATTACCATGGTCGATTCAGAGTCACGACCATCTCCTTTTGTACACAGAGACCTGGTTTATAAAATCAAATTGCACAAACCTCTGCAATTGCAAGCATCTTGTTTCTTTGTCTGCTGACAATAGTGAATAACTTGACAGGGTCGGTATCAAGTCCGTTTTTTTGTTCAGTGAAGAAATATCTCTTTTCAATAACTTCATTTCCAAGCTGTACAGTCGTATCTATATTACGGAAAAAGGCATTCAGTAGCACTAGAAGTTGCTCAGTCAATATTGCACATATGATAAGAATAAAGGTAATGAAAATGAGAGGATGGTTAGTTAGGAAAGTCGATCTAGTGAAAGCTAATGTTTACAGGTCAGTACACTAACTTCAACCTCTAGGGTGGAAGAGAAATCTTGTCTGTTCTGTATGCTCCAGGATCCGGAAAATTTTCTCTGTAGTTACGATCGACATAGAATTAGAAAGTCTTCACACAACTCCCTTAGATAATGGAAATCCTGGGAGGTTTATCGACAGAAACATTAAGAAAGAAACCTTTCTTAGCTAAATGACAGTGCCGATGAAGACACTGTTTGTGAGTTTGGCTTTCAACGGTGACAGTATTTCTGAAGTAATTAAAAGTCGTTTATCTAAATGTATTAAACGGTGTTTTTTATGCAGCTGACTTGCATTTAGTATTTACCAGCCGAAATATGATTTGACAATGCGTCAAGGATAAACTACCGGTTATATCCACCTCTATTTGCATATACTCATTCACACGCTCGTTTGGAACTGATTACATTGGACGTTGTAAGCGTAATCTCCGTAAATACGTAGCTTAACACTACTCGGTTTGATTAGTGAAAGGTGAGCAAAGAACGACAAAATCTTCAATCTGTGAACACCTGGAGTCAGGTAATTAAGCCCCACCTTATCTACAGGACCGAATCCAATCACTTCAATAGCTTACGCTTTCTCCACTTATGCATACATAGTTGAAGCTATGGACAGAAAACTAAATTATGTGTTCAAAAACGTTTTGTTAAACCCCTTTCTTTACCTTGGTCATGGTAATGTTATATTTTACCATTTGAATTCATTCCACTTTGCTTCATCTTCTCCGTCTTTACTGTTATCATCATTGTGCTCCATTTTTTAGACAAAATGACCTACAAATTTAAAATTTTGATACCAAGTTTTGTAATTCATCCACTTCAACTTAGTACATCACTTTAATTACCTTTATTCTTATCGCATATCTATTGACTGAGCAATTTCAAGTGCCACTGAATACCTTTTTCCGTAATATAAATACGACTGTACAGTTAGCTTGTTAAATATGGGGGTGACATACTAGTTTGTAGATTAACTGAGGTACTAGGCAAAGTCTGGGAATCAGAGACAGTTCCATCAGACTGGAGTAAGTCACTTATTATACTGATATTTAAGAAGGGAAACAAGTCCTCGTGTGATAATCATAGGGGGATCAGCCTAACGAACATAGTCTGTAAAATCCTAGGCTCAGTAATCATGCACAGACTAAGCAGAACTCGAGAGGAACAGACAAGGGAAAATCAAGCAGGCTTTAGACCAGTCTTCGTATGTTTGGCATGCTATTCGCCCCTGCAAAATGTAAGATGCTGCTACAGGGCTGGACTACGTCAACTCCTAGCTTAGTGATAGGGAGTGAAGTGATAGAACATGTTGACCACTTCGCCTATTTGGGAAGTTGTATCAGCACCAACGGACTGATTGGCGACGAAGTCTCAGCACGGATCCAAAAGCTCGAGCTTCTTTCGCTGACTTACACCATCTCTAGCGTAGGCGTGACAACCGGCTATCCACCAAGGGAAGGACTGCACTACTCGCCGATGCCTTTTCGTAATCTCTGCCTACGCCCCCACTGACTGCAGTTCAGATGAAACGAAGGATGAGTTCTACCAAAAGTTGTCTAGTTTGGTGAGAAAGGCTAAACGCTCAGACATAGTCGTTCTAGCTGGTGACTTTAACGCTCAAGTAGGGAAATTGTGTCAATCTGAGAAGGATGTCGGTGGCACCTATGGAGTTCCGTGCCAGCGAACCGACAACGGTGACCGTCTCCTACAGTTCTGCTCTGATAATCATTTGTTTCTTGTAAGCACTAACTTCAAACACAAGGAGAGACACTGTTTGACTTGGAGACCCCCTTCATCAAACCAACGCTGGACACAAATAGACCACATAGCAATAAGCTATCGTTGGCGTGGGTCGGTAGGAGATTGTCGCTCCTTCTGGAACACGTGCGTAGATACCGACCATGCACTGGTCCGCGCTCGTGTGTGCTTACGACTGAACGGACGTAGGAAACAGCTGGCGGTAAAACCATCACGTCCCCAGCTCGATCAGGAAACTAAATCCGTATTTGAGGAAGAACTAGCTAAACACATATCTGTGTTCGACAGCTGTGCTCACCCTGAAGAAGCTTGGAAAAATATCCAGGCAGCCATAGATACAGCTGTAAAAGCTGTGAATAAGGTAAACCCAAAGGTGAGTAAAAACCACTGGATCTCCACCGCCTCATCCGAACTGATAGATGCTAGAAGACTTATTCCGGCGAGCTCCGAATTCAATGAGGAGCGAAAGCTGCACAAGAGGAAACTTACGAAAAGTCTCCGCAAGGACCGTGAACAGTGGTGGGCGACAAAAGCCAAAGAGATGGAGAAAGCTTCGAGGATAGGCAACACCAGGCAACTCTTTGGACTCATCAGGGAAACGGGTGGGAGAAGACAAATCATTAGTGAGACAATCTCGGAAAAAAATGGCACTATAATTAGCTCACAGGATAGACGACTGGATCGTTGGAAAGAGCATTATGAGGAGCAGTTTAATTTGCCCACAGCCACGCTCAACCTTCCGAGCATCCAACACCTCCCTGAATGGGATATAGATACAGGTCCTCCGTCACTAACTGAGGTTACTAAAGCTGTCACCAATCTGAAACTAGGCAAAGCAGCGGGACCTGATGGAATGACTCCAGAGGTATTTAAGTACGGTGGAGACAGCTTACTGTCCGGATTAACTGAGGTACTAGGCAGCGTTTGGGAATCAGAAGAAGTCCCATCGGGTTGGTGTAAGTCACTGATTATCCCCATATACAAGAAGGGAGACAAGTCTTCCTGTGATAATCACAGAGGGATTAGCTTGACTAATATAGTATCTAAAGTCTTAGGCTCAATAATCATGCGTAGACTGAGTGGTGCTCGGGAAGCACAAACACGAGAGAGCCAGGCAGGCTTTAGACCAGGAAGAGGGTGTATTGATCATATCTTCACCCTCCGACAGATTCTAGAACATAGGCATTCCTACCGGCGTCCAACAGTCATTATATTTCTTGACCTAAAGGCAGCATTCGACTCTGTCGATCGGGAAGTTCTCTGGAGATGCTTGGCTGTAAAGGGAATTCCGAGAAAATATATTGCACTGATTAAGGCACTCTATTCGTACTCATACAGCCAGGTGAGGGCTTACGGCGAGCTGTCATCTGAACTGATGACGACCAGTGGTGTCCGTCAAGGATGCCCATTATCTCCTTTTCTATTCAACTTCATCATAGATGTGTTAATGGACTTAACCCTAGGTGACTTCAGCGATTCAGGGATTGACTTGCTACCTGGGAATAATCTCGTTGACTTGGAATATGCAGACGATATAGTCCTTCTAGGCGAAGACGCTGACGAAATGCAGAGTCTTCTAAACACCTTGAGCAGCAATCTACGAATGTTTGGCATGCGATTCGCTCCCGCCAAATGCAAGATGATGTTACAGGACTGGACTACATCGACGCCTAGTTTAAAAATAGGAAGTGAAGTGGTAGAGCACGTTGACCGCTTCACTTATTTGGGAAGTACCATCAGCCCCAACGGGCTGATCTCTGACGAAATCTCAGCACGAATACAAGGGGCTCGTTTCGCATTTGTTAGTTTACGCCGACTCTGGCGTAGACGAGATGTTCGACTATCGACCAAAGGGCGGGTGTACTGCTCATCAGTCCGCTCCGTCCTCCTTTATGGTTGTGAGACCTGGCCACTGAGAGTGGAAGACATGAAAAGACTAGCTGTCTTTGATCATAGGTGCCTGCGTTCTATTTCCCGTGTAAAGTGGCATAATAAGGTGAGCAACATGGAGGTTAGGCGTAGAGTTCTAGGTAAACAGGGGAAATCAATCGACGAAGTCGTGAAGCTACAAAGACTGAGATGGTTAGGACATGTGTTACGTATGCCAAGCCATCGCCTCCCTCGACGAGCAATGTTAGCGGATATAGGGTCAGGCTGGAAAAAAGCTAGCGGCGGTCAAACAAAAACTTGGCATCAGTCAATGAAATCCACAACAGTTGGTCTAAGCCACGTAGGAAGGTGTAGACTTCCAGGCTGGGGTCCTCGGGACGGTAAAAATCTATGGTTGGAAACAATTGGTGACATGGCTCAAAATCGTTCTCAGTGGCGCAGATGCATCCACTCCCTGTGACTTATGATCTCCAATGAAACTGTTTTGTATTTCTTTATTACTCCTTTGTCTCACACCTCTGCTCACTGTTTCTATTTGCTTTTCTTGTACTTTCTTCTCTTGCTTCGCGTGCTACACGGAATGTGGCGACTTGAACTTCCGCACATTTGTGCAAAGTTCTATGTCGAAAACAGACAGACAGACAGACACCAAGGGACGTGTGTACTGCTCAGCAGTTCGCTCCGTCCTTCTCTATGGCTCTGAAACATGGCCAATACGCGTTGAAGACATGAAAAGGTTGACTGCTTTCGATCATAGATGTCTGCGATCCCTGTCTCACGTTAGGTGGTTTAACAAGGTAAGTAATGTTGACGTTAGGCGCAGTGTTGGGCAAATAGGTAAAATCAATCGACGAGGCTATAAAGTTACATAGATTGAGATGGGGCTAGGTCACGTTCTGCGCACGCCTAACCATCGCCTCCCCCGACGGGCATTACTAGCTGATATAGGTGCAGGTTGGAAAAGGGTAAGTGGTGGCCAAACAAAAACATGGCCTCATCAATCCATGAAATCCTTGACAGTTAAACTGAGTCAGGTAGGGAGGGAGATGCAGACTTCCGGGTTGGGGCCTTCGGGACTCTAGGAATCAATGGCTGGAGACAATAGGTTACATGGCTAAAAATCGTTGTCAATGGCCAGCGCAGATGTATTCAGTCTCTGTAATCTTCCATATTCTTTTTTACCATTACCCATTCTGTTTCACTCTTATACTTGTCAGACTGTATTGATTCTCTTCACTCATCTTCTTGTCTACCTCTGTGTGGTATTTGGAACGTGGCAACTCGAACTGGTGCACTTCGGTGCCAAGTTCTATGTTGAATCCATACAGACAGCTTGAAAATGAAGTTGTTGAAAAGAGATATTTCTTCGTTGAACAAAAAAATACTGTGTTAGACAAAAGCAAACGAAATTCACAGTGTGAGACGATATCGTTTTATGTCAGTAAAGCGTTTATTCTGAGGGAAATACCAACAACGATTCTTATTAGAATATTGATGGGTTGTATCCCACTTTCATTAATACTTATTCAGCACCACATATATATTTCTGGACTCATTTTGCCGCTTTTGTAAATAACTTGATGCAATAAAATCGCACATAACACTATCGTCTTCACTCTGTGACAATACTGCATGCATGTTAGTTACGGGATTGTGATCACTAGTCACTAAGCATTTCCAGTTGCTCAGTAGTGGCTAATCGTATGTTCGTATTTTCGACCTTTTTTTAGACAATTGAGCATGAAGAATGTGAAGTTAAGCAACTCGAAAAGGCTTTAAATTTGATAAAAAGATTCGAAAATGAATCTGCTATTCATTCAAGTTCTGGGACAAATTTAACTTCTGATGACATTTTATCTTGGATGTCACTTATACGCGAGGAGTGTGCAGATTTGGATGAAATGCCAATCCTTATGGCATGTATTGCACGTCCAATGTTGGATAATTCCTTGTCTAAGTGGAATCCGCTTCAAGTATGTGTGTTTTTGCTTAGTTTTTATAAGTGTAACATATTTTTACTGTGGAGTCCGGTAAATCTTTGTACAATCGCCATTGCTTTCATTGGAGAGCTGGGGGATATTTAAAGTAGTGGCCTGAGTAAAATCTGATTAAGTGGTGTATGTTTCGATGAAACTTTACGTCCTACTGTTGGCCGGCCCCACCATTGCTCATAAGCAATCATTTCCTCACACGGTCACTATGTCACTCTCAGATTCACACCATTCTCGTCGTTCCCCGTTCGGGTTCCACTCGGGAACCCAGCGCGTAATGCTTTTCAACGGTCTTCTCAGTATATTTCCGATCCATTTCCACTTTCTCTAACATATTTGTTGAGCAATAGGTTCTCGATAGGTACGTTCCCAGAGTTTCTTGTCTCCTGTCCTTTCTGGCTGGTCACCTGATCTTCAGTATGGAGCCAGTGGAGGCAGCTACCACCTGTTCGAAGTGCCTTTTGTGAGCCAATTTTATGACTCGTAAAGAAGAACTGACTGAATTGACATCAGTGGTGAGAATCCCTTATCCGTGTCGACTTACTGTAGTTGAAACTTTGTTTCGTAAATTAGTTAACGAAGAGACCTCATTCAAATTTCTCCCGTCTATAGTGACTGGTGCTTGTCGTTGGTTGATTTTCCTTATCACCTCCGCCTTTTCTATGCCTCCTGTCTTTGCTGCTTTCAAATACATCCACATGTCTTCTGTGAAGTGCTTCTTTGTGTTCCTTTCATGTTTCCTGGGTTGTTTCACAATAATCGTTCATTTCACCTCTTCACTATTAAATCCCTCTCTCCGCTATTCTTGCAGATGATATATACATATTTTCACCTGTACGTATATACTACTTATAAATCTTATTAGTAGCACAAGCTACAGTGATAGTTTAGATTACTTTTAACCGAAATTTATCTTTGGCATTCCATGGGTTCATTTTATGTGGACTGTGGAAACGGATTTGTCAGCCGCACTGTAAAGAGGACTACATCGAAAGCTATTTCTTCGTTATTCATGTCTATAATTCTACGGACAATGCCACGGATGCAACCAAGAAGTCATAGAGTGTATCTTTAAGACTAAAGGCATGATTAAGTCGAGCGCTTAGATATAAAAGCAGGTAGAATTGTTGAGGCGGGGAACCTTGGTGACAGCATAATTCCTTGGTATTATAATTGATTACTATTAAAGCTATAAGAAGAGTCTAATCTGTCGTCACCAATAATAATAATAATAATAATTCTATTTGTCATTTGGTGATTTTCTTTACAGAAGCCTACATTTTGTCTCGATTTATTGTCACGTTGGAAAGATTTCTTTCAAAATTCATGTGCATTTGATGTTATACTTGAAACAACCTGGTTGAGTACAATGCGTCGTGCAATAGTTAACGAGTGGAATCCTCGAGACTGTGAACCTTTGTTAGAGGTTCTAGAAGCATGGAAACCTTTACTACCGGTTGATATGTTGGAACACAGATTACTCGATGAACTAATTCTTCCAAAGTTGCAGGTAATTATATTATTTTTATAAATACCAGAGGTGGTGGTTTAGTGGTCAGGTAGAGTTTTGGCAAACTTCTGACCTAAGACACCTCTTGCTTCTAGCAAATTCTATGTGAAATTTAAGTATCGTTTTGTTTCTCAAATATGGTTAAGATATGTAGATGATACTTTTGTAGTACTAAAACGAGATCTACACAATTCATTCCTGGAGAAAATAAACTGTGTATCTCCTAGAATCCAGCTTATTTCGGAAGCAGAATCAGACGTCGGTGAACTACCATTTCTACGCTGCCTAGTTAAGAGGAGGGAAAACGGACATTTTAGTGTATCCATATTCAGGAAGAAAACCCACTCCAATAAATATTTAGACTCCATCAGCGCAAAGATTTCAGTTGTTTCAAGTCTTCGTAGACTAGCACACTCTCTGATAACGGATGAGCAAGAAAAAGAAGCCGAAATATCAAACATTACTGAAACTCTCAAGCAAAACAACTACCCAAGGAACTTCATCAACAAAATCAACATTGACGTTAAGTATGGTCGAAAACGCATTCTGAAGATATGGACATCAACAGTCATCATCCCATATAGATCAGAGACGTCAGACGATATTAGAAGAGTACTCAATCAGCTCGACATTAGAGTTTTCTTCAAAACATCAGACACACTGCGAAACAACCTTGTCCATATAGAAGACGAAATCCCTAAAGATTCTCTGTCTAATTGTGTCTATAAAATAAAATGCTTGGAATGTGATGCTATGTACATTGGACAAACATCTCGAGAAATCAAAATCAGAAGAAATGAACACCGAGAAATCAGGTTGAACTAGAAAAGCATGAAAAATCATCAGTTATAGAATCAGGCCACAAATTCATTTTTACAATATTGAAATGATCCAGAAAAACTTCAGAAATCACAAAGAACGTCTAATATCAGAAGCACTTCATATCAAGTGGAATCCAAATTTTCTGGTGAATAGGAATGATGGACTAAAACAGAATCTGACCTGGCTACAACACCCCGCTCCCCCATGAAGTGACAAAATCAACACAACAGACAAACGTAATAAGCAAGTTCACTATGTAAACACACACTACTTTTATAATTTTACACTCTGATCAAATCCAACAATCTACACTTGATTTTGTTATCTTTACCAATTGACCAACTTGACACCGAAAAATGACCCCAGACAGACGAACGACGATCAAGTTAGTAAACTTTATTTTGATATCATAACAGACGTACTATTACTTTTGTTATTTGGTTTAGTGATCTCCATTGTTATTTTCACTTTCAATATGTCCTTTTAACTTGACCTAAGTCTATTTTCTCACCCCTTAACTCTTTGTTATATATATGCTGAGATTTTGTAAATTCCGGTTTAATAATACTTTGAGAAAGCTATTAGCATTAAATAGCGAAACGTCAGTAAAAACAATATTGTTTTGTTTTTCATTCATGCATTGGGGAATACAAAAACTTTTATTATAATGAATATCATATACCCAATGCCCAGATTTTTTTCAAACTGTTAAAAGTGAACTTGGTTTGAACATATAGAAATTCCATGAAGTCAGTATTATGATATGTAATAACTGAATTCAGTCCACAAACCTAGCCATTATTTTATTTAACTCAGAGACAGTAACATTGAGAGCCTTTACAAACCATGTAACAACAGAAGACAAGGGCCGGCAAGAGATCGTTTTATTACGGAAATCAACACATTTATGTATATTTCCTGTACATCATTATAGCTTATGCAAGTAGACAAACGCAGTCTTCTGACTGGTTGTTTCTCGGAAGTTAAGCAGACAAACGCAGGCTTCTGATTGGTTGTTTCAGGTAACATCGAAAAGTGGAGCCATCTATCTGCGAATCATATTTGCCCACGTTATGTTTGCTGTGATTGGTTGTTAAATCAGCCTTGTTCATATTTTCTCACGACTAATATTAGTGACCTAGACATTGTCTGTCTGTCTTCGACATAGAACTTTGCACAAATGTGCGGAAGTTCAAGTCGCCACATTCCGTGTAGCACGCGAAGCAAGAGAAGAAAGTACAAGAAAAGCATAATAGAAACAGTGAGCAGAGGTGTGAGACAAAGGAGTAATAAAGAAATACAAAACAGTTTCATTGAAGATCATAAGTCACAGGGAGTGGATGCATCTGCGCCACTGAGAATGATTTTGAGCCAACCTAGACATTGACGTAGATTGATGTCTACCAATTGGCTAGCAGCCTGCTCTCACCACAACCATATGCAATTTTGTAATTTTTAGGAAGCTGTCAATTCATGGAATCCCTTAACGGATACAATACCTGTCCATACATGGTTACATCCATGGCTACCTTGGTTCGGAGGAACTGAACGTCTTTCTTGTGTACATGATATAGTTCTTCAGAAGCTTGGAAGCTGTCTTACCAACTGGCATCCAAGTGATGCATCTGCTCGCTCAGTTCTTATGCCATGGCGCACTATTTTTCCACTTACATCGATGGCAGCTTTTCTCAGTCGTCATGTAGTGCCGAAATTGGCTTTAGCCTTACAACAGTTTCAGGTTAGTTTTCTGTTCTGTATTGTCTAACATGATTTATTCGCAGTACAGTTCATGAGTGTTTCTGAATTTACGGTATTATCAGATGTTAGATTTATCGAGCAACAAACTAGTTAGGTGATTACAGCTAATTTTCAAGTATTGGTTTTTTAAGGACTTTGTTTGGTTGCATGGAGGATTTCATCATGAGCTGACATCAGTTAGAGAACCACTGGAAAAATCTTGGAGTACTGGACAGCTGTTTCGTCCTAGTTTGGGTCTCTTCAGTAGTACGGACCCACCGGGGTTCGAACCCAGGACCTTCTGGTTACAAGGCGAGCTCGTAGACCATTGAGCCACTGAGATCCGATACAATGGTCCTTGAATCCTAACTTCTGCCAATTCATAACATAGCGCGACCATTTCGCAATGTCTTCTTCGATGAGCTTCTGCCTCATCTTCGACCTGCTGTACCCTGCTTCCCATTGATGTCAGTTCATGATGAAATCCTCCATGATGACAGCTAAGGCATGAAAACTAATTGGTCAGCAGAGAATTGTAATTCAATGTTGTCTAGTGTTATTCACCGAGGGAATAACTGGAAACTGAAATTAATCTGTTTGCACATGTGATATACAAATTTGAATAGCCGAAATATATGGCCAAGAATGCCGCTAGCCAACGAACATAAGAGCTGTTGTCAATCGAATTTCAATACTCCGTGCATAGTTAGTCAAAGGCGAAAAGGAATGTAGTTTTTCTTGTGGATGTTTATGATGTTGGGTGCCAAAATACGGTTATTTGACAGTTTCACTAATTTTTGGAGTCGTGTATAAAAGGGAGTGTTGTATTCAGTGTGTAGACAGTAACCAACAGTGAATTTCTATGTAAGCAAGTGGAGACAATCTGGTATTAATCAGTCAGTTCCTGCTTTTACTGTTTGTTAATTCTTGCAGTATTCTACCTTACCTATTCTTCCTTATTGTTCCGCCGTAATCTTTTTGCGGCTACTTTAGAAAGACTTTGTTACACTGCGAAGGGCAATAAAAGCTGTTGGTATGGTGTGGCTAAACCCACTGTTGTATATAGATACATGGATTCATGCAAGAAATTAGTGAGTATTATCTGGTCGAACCCTGAGAATCTCCTTGCATCTATCACATCAAGTTGGACTAGAAGCGACTATGGAAGACTTTGTGCTCCGATGACCATGTATAAAAATTTCACTGTACCTTATTTAGCGTACATTTTATGGGATGAGAAAGGTGTAAGGCATGACGCTACTAATTTACTGAGAGACACCGAGTAAACAGCACTTTTTATTCTTTCATTCATTAATATTATATTGTTGTTAATATTTCCAATTAAATTTCAATTTCATATTCTTGTTGAAAAATGTTGCGTCGGTGACACAGCGGTAAAATGCTCGCCAACCACTCAGGTGGTTCAAGGTTCAGTCCCCGGCCACAGACGCACTCCTTTACCTCGCTAAGCCAGTAGTAAGACCTGTAAGGAGGGAAGGCGGGGCATGAAACTAGCAGCCCCATCCCGTAAAAATAAATACCACTGCTATTGGAACTTCCAAGCTATAGCTTAAAGCCCTATGTTCCATTGGGAACGTAAAGGAATAAAGTAAAATTTTGAAAAATGTTACTAATGTAAATGCCCTGCTTAATTATTTCCCCCCGTGCTATGTAAAGAGAAAATTAGATGTAGTATTGCACTGCATACTGAAAATTTTACATTGTATCAAGAGTTCTAGTTACTACGTACAACTACATCGCTAGAATATAATCCCTAAACCAATATTCTAGTAGTGGGAGGAGTTATTTTGCTGGGAATATTTCGAGTCAAATTATCGATTGATTGTGATTTTTTAGGTATAGAACTAATTCTTCCGGTTAAAGTTACATGTATGTACTTGCAACTCATTTCCGTGATCTATAAAACCACTCACATGAAATTTTAAAAAAATTGATTGGCACAGTTATACTTATGTACATTTAAAAAAAGATGTTCAGCGAGCAGTTACTCTCTGCCCATTCCTTCTGTGGTTTGAAGAAGTTTGGTTCGTACTCTTTTAGCAAGATTTCCGCGTATTCTGTAGACGACTTTGAATTTAGTATGTGGGTTAGCTTGGTGTGTAGATTCGACCAAGTGGTCCAGGATACAGCTGTGGAGTTGAGAATCTTTCCTCTACTTTATAAAATCATGAAGGTAAGTGCTACATTTACATACCAAACGCTCGGTACGGCCGACATACCTAACGGCACACGAGTAGGCGTATTGTTAGATGCACACTGATAAGGCCAACAGTGGTAGCTTATACCTCACGTTCATGTGATTCACTGATTTTGTAGAGAAAATCGAAGCTACGAAAGTTTTCTTCAGTGAGCGGGACAGGCGATTTCTCAATATTCTTGTGGATGTTGGGACTCCATGGGATTGTAGGTTCGACTAGAGAAGTCTTCTGGGAGGAGGAAGTATGGGTGGTTTTAGTGTTTTAGGTATCGTAGATTTTGTGATGAAACGTTCTCCGTCGTCATTCTTAAGAAAGATTCTTTTCAGTGTTGAGCCCGGACACTATGTAACGGGAGCTGAACACTGAAAAAAATCTTCCCTGAAATGGCTATGGAGAACATTTCACCACGATATCCATGGTACCTAAGACCATCCATACTTCTTGCTCCCAGAAGATGTCACTACTCGAATCTACAATTCAATGCAGACCCATCCGCAGAAATACTGAGAAACCACCTGTCGTTCACTTCCTACTAATAACCTATAAGGGTTTTGGCTATCTACTCAGATTAGATGTCTACAGCATTACTCTTTAGTTATTGTATTAATTAAATCAGTATTTCGTGTACCTCCCATTGGAGCCCCAACTCTGCGTATTGCATTCATAAATGCATGTACCGCTGGAACTCTTTTTTCGAATAAACAAGCAGTATAGTAAGGTTAATACTCCAGTAATGATTTGGCTATGGGAGTGCTGAGATAGTTTGTTTCTTTATTCCGCTCTTGTCATTTCACATATCAAATTTGTAGTATTGATTTTTCTGGTATTGGTAGACGCTTCAACGTGATTAAACTAAAATGTTTTTTTACGACCAATACTTCACTTTATTGTGTATGATGCCTGGACGATTGTTATGTACTTGTCGCCAAATTATTGCTATGTACTGGTCGAGAATTTAATAGTCCTGACGCAAGAAGGCGGAAATCAGAAGACCACTAGGTTTGCGATGATACTTCTATTTTCCGAAACACCAGGAAAATCAATATGTCACACAAGAGTGTGAGAGCGAAATATATAAGAATGTCCGAACAAGTGTGTGGACAAATCAACAGACAGTTTTAACATGAATGGCTAATTATAATGAAGTATCGATCCATATATACATAGCAAAATATAGCAGACATGTCAACAACCACACACATAATATGGATATATGTCACCAAGCAACGGACTGTCAACAAACACTCATGTTATATATAATATAAGGGGAATATACATTGTTAAAGGAGACAGGTTCATCAAAGTGAAATTGTCACAGACTAAGCGAGCAAACAGAAAGAGAGACCACCATACACATATATATATATATATGGATACGTATCAACGATAAAATCTAATTATATGTATGTATCTTTTTGCACTAATTTTAACTATTCAGCTCAATCCTGCCAAACAGAATATGGATCCATGGAATTGGGTTATGCGTTGGGCTGACTTGATTGGGCCTGCTGTGCTTGTAAACTTACTAGAGCATCATTTTTGGCCGCGTTGGTTATCAGTTCTTTCAAACTGGCTAAATCAAGGTGCAGAGGCTAGGCAACGTGGTGACCATACTGCTGCCGGTCAAATTTTCCAAGAAGTTGGTCGTTGGTATGCTGGTTGGAAGGGTCAGTTGCCACCGGAGTGTATGGAATATGCCAGTGTAAAAGATGCTCTGACGAAAGCTTTATCGATGATGGAACGTTCAATGCGGGGCTTACCACCTCAAGTAAGTGGTTTATATATATATATATATATATATTGCACAGACATACCCTGAAGAAGTGAGGCTAAAATCGAACTCGAGGTCCATTAGCTGAAAGTGTAGTGTTCAAGCTACGTCTCCACGGGCTGTTATTAGCCAGCGACGACTTTGGCACGAATAATTCATATAAAAGGGTGAAAAATACTGATACTATCCTTTGACTTAATTGATTACTATCAGAGTTGTCAACTGGTGATAACACTCGGTTCTTTTTAAATTTTTGATGGGTAAATCAAGTTATAGTCATTCGATTCTGGAAACTCTTCTTCACGAACTATTCAAATGAACGGATATTCTCAGAGATGTTCATCTTGCGTATACAGAGTTGTGTGTGTAGTGGTTATAGAAGACGACAAAAAAGAGCGCTTTTTCACGTTCTTGCTCATTATTTACCAAAAGACGAAACGAATATCCTTTGTTCATCAATCCATCATTAATTTTTTCAATCATTTAGCGGCAGCCAGGAAGTAATCAATCCATATGAAACACATTAGGTGACTGACTGACTGGTTTCAACATAGAACTTTGCACATATATGCGGCAGTTCAAGTCGCCACATTCCATGTAGCACACAAAGCAAGAAAAGAAAGTAGAAGAAAATGCATAATAGAGACAGTAAACAGAGGTGTGAGACAAAGGAAAAGTAATAACGAAGAACAAAACAGTTTCATTGGAAATCATAAGTCACAAGGAGTTGATGCATCTGCGCCATTGAGAAAGAGTTTGAGCCATGTCACCAATTGTTTCCAGCCTTCATTGGTTTTTACCGTCCCGAGGACCCCAACCAGGAAGTCTACCCCTTCCTACATGGCTTAGACTAACTGTTGAAGACTTCATTGACTGGTGCCATGTTTTGTTTGACCACCGCTAGTTCTTTCCCAGTCTGACCGCAAGCCAGCTAACATTGCCCGTCATGGAAGGCGATGACTAGGCATACGTAGCACATATCCTAACCATCTCAGTCGATGTAATTTCACAACCTCGTCGATTGGTTTTCCCTCCCCTTATTACCTATCACTCGACCAAAGCCTAACCTCAATATTGGTCACCTTATTATACCACTTCATACGGGAGATAGAACGCAGGCACCTATGATCAAAGACAGCTAGTCTTTTCATGTCTTCCACTCTCAATGGCCAGGTTTCACAGCCATATTGATGGAGGACGGAGCGGACTGACTGCTGAGCAGTACACACGCCATTTGGTTGACAGCCAGCCGGATATCGCGTCTACGTCAGGGACGGCGTAAACTGGGATATGCGAAACTAGCCCTCTGTATCCGTGCTGAGATTTCATCAGAGATCAACCCGTTGGGGCTGATAGTACTTCCCAAATGAGTGAAGCGGTCAACGTGCTCTACCACTTCACTTCCTATTTTTAAACTAGGCGTCGATATAGTCCAGTCCTGTAACATCATCTTGCATTTGGTGGGAGCGAATCGCATGCCAAACATTCGTAGATTGCTGCTCAAGGTGTTCAGAAGACTCTGCATTTTGTCAGCGTCTTCGCCTAGTAGGACTATATCGTCTGCATATTCCAAGTCAACGAGATTAGTCCCTGGTAGCAAGTCAATCCCTGAGTCGCTGAAGTCACTTAGGGTTAAGTCCATTAACACATCTATGATGAAGTTGAATAGCAAAGGGGATAATGGGCATCCTTGACGGACACCACTAGTCGTCACCAGTTCAGATGACAGCTCGCCGTAAGCCCTCACCTGGCTGTATGAGTACGAGTAGAGTGTCTTAATCAGTGGAATATATTTTCTCTGCATTCCCTTTACAGCCAAGCATCTCCAGAGAACTTCTCGATCGACAGAGTCGAATGCTGCCTTTAGGTCAAGAAATATAATGACTGTTGGACGCCGGTAGGAATGCCTATGTTCTAGAATCTGTCGGAGGGTGAAGATATGGTCAATACACCCTCTTCCTGGTCTAAAGCCTGCCTGGCTCTCTCGTGTTTGTGCCTCCCGAGCACCACACAGTCTGCGTATGATTATTGAGCCTAAGACTTTAGATACTATATTAGTCAAGCTAACCCCTCTGTGATTATCACAGGAAGACTTGTCTCTCTTCTTGTATATGGGGATAATCAGTGACTTACACCAACCCGATGGGACTTCTTCTGATTCCCAGACGCTGCCTAGAACCTCAGTTAATGCAGACAGTAAGCTGTCTCCACCGTACTTAAATACCTCTGGAGTCATTCCATCAGGTCCCGCTGCTTTGCCTAGTTTCAGATTGGTGACAGCTTTAGGGATGGAGGACCTGTAATTCCATTATGGGTAAATTTTGTTTTGATAAAGTCTCACAGTGTTATACAGTAATGTTTACAGTAAACAGTAATGTCAGTAAACATTACTGTATAACACTGTGAGACTTTATCAAAACAAAATTTACCCATAATGGAATTACACTCTACCACAGTGCACAAGTTTTATTCTTATATTAATGGAGGACCTGTGTCTATATCCCATTCAGGGAGGTATTGGATGTTCGGCAGGTTAAGCTTGGCTGTAGGCCAATTGGACTGCTCCTCATAATGCTCTTTCCAGCGATCCAGTCGTCTATCCTGGGAGCTAATTATAGTGCCATTTTTCTCCGAGATTGTTTCACTAATGATTTGCCTTCTCCCACCCGTTTCCCTGATGAGTCTAAAGAGTTGCCTATCGCCGATGCTTTTTCCATTTCTTTTGCCTTTGTCACCCACCACTGTTCACGGTCGTTGCGAAGACTTTTCGTAAGTTTCCTTTTGTGCAGCTTTCGCTCCTCATTGAATTCGGAGCTCGCCGGAATAAGTCTTCTTGCGTCAATCAGTTCGGATGAGGCGGCGTAGATCCAATGGCTTTTACTAACTTTAGGTTTTAGCTTATTAACAGCTTTCACAGCTGTGTCTACAGCTAACTGTATGTTGTGCCAGGCTACCTCATGGGAGCTGATGGGTGCGAACTAGCACGAAACCTAGGTCAAAGAAGTCTTCTTGTCGATTGCCTCCAACCATCTAATACCGACAAAACTCAAGTCAGTAAGAATCAACAAGATTGTTACTACGATAGTATAAGTGGTTGAATAATTTCTTTTCTGTATTCTTAGCTTCGTTATCTTTCTTCAAATGGATAAATCTTCAGCGATGCAAATGAGACGAAAGCGTATGGTGTCTTTGACAGGTGTTTTTCTTCACTTTGTAGATCACTTCGAAGGAGGTGTCTATTGAGATGGAATTACCAGTGTGTTCACAAGGGGTACGATTTCCGCACTCCTCATGGGAGAGCCACTACTGCCTTTCTCTATAACCATGCGGGATAGTGTTCTTGAACCGTTTTAGACAGGATACGCATCGAACGGCTCCACAGGAACAGATGAACTAATGTGTATATGCACATAGAAGTGGCCAGATGCAAAATCTTGTCCTTAAGGCTTGTGCAGACCAATGAAAGATTGGAGAACACTGTTCTTAGTGTTCCTGCGAAGAATATGTTTCTCTAAAGGATATTGCAGTCTAAGTCTCCCTAGAACTTTTGAATTGATATTTTTGTCAATGAATCCTGGTGGGGTACTCCATTTCGGATGAATATTTCTTTGAGAAGATCTAGTTCCGCTTCTAGGGTGTCAGGACTACAGATACGTCGGATTCGAGTGGCAAGGGATTTAATTAAATTCCAGCTGTGATGAATATACGTACATCAAGGTGTATAATATAAAGAGGCTTACCATTGTTATCAATGGTGTTTACGCTTTTTATGTAATTAGCTTACTTATCTTTTCTGTAACAGGATTAGGCGCTGTGATTTACAAGTAACTCATCGATTTGGTTGGAAAGTACACTTATGTATCCTGAAAGTTCATTTTTTCAGATGATTTAAAGGAAATCAAGAGAGTAACGCAGAGTAGCAATTTCTATGAGTGATTGATCTTGTTTCATTACTGAACCAATCAAATTTAGTTGTTTTTCTGCATGTGTTGCAGTCAGCTGCGTCTCAGAAGTGTATTAAGATAACAGTAGATTTAGTGTCTTTTAAACTAGTAGTTTTCAAATGGATATCATTTTCTTCCTAAATCAAATAATTCATTCTATTAATTTTTTTTTACTTATTTAGGAACCTGCATTTTCAGCTGTTCCCGCGTATCCTGCGAGTTCATCGAGTGTTTATCCACCAGGAGCTTTCGGTACAACAACACCTTTAGTTGCCCCACCACCATCCACCTTGCGTAAACAAGTTGAACAAGTCGCAGCCCAACGTGGCTTGCTGTTTCATCCTATATCAAATAGAATGTTTGAAGGACAACAGGTATATCGACTGGAATCTCTACACGTGTTTTTCGATCGCAATGTCAGTTATGTGTACACGCCAAGTGATGGTGGTTGGCATCCCATAGCTTTTTCAGAATTAATGGAACGTGCACAGTATTAATTTTCTTTTTTATCAGATTCCCTAAATTCAGTTTGTAAATTTCTTCACTAAACTATATTTTTCACCAGCATATATATTGTACATAGTTATCTTCAAATTTTCTTTTATCATTTGTGGCTAAAATTTGAAATAAACTATGACATGAAATTTGCAGGTATTTGTGTGGGGCAGTTATCGCGTTTGCAAGTTATTGTTTATGTTGTTTTTTGGTGGATGGTGACTAGAAGTATGGAGTCTATGTCGCGCGTTTTACCTTATTTGGGACCCGTCATAAGGATATATCACTCCTCAGTGAGTGATGACGGTGTTCCCACAGACTCGAATCTAGCGCTCATCGTTTCAAACACCAAAGCGTTATTCACTAGACCATTTGGTTCCGTACTGGGAGACGATATGTCAACGGCGGCCGAACATCTCGGTTTCAATCAATCAAGGGGAGGAAAATCAAGATTCAATTAAGAATATCATTTACGTTTGTACACGAAAATTTATGCGTACACAATTCTGAAGCGGCAGCATTTTATGGTCAGTCGTAATGCAACTGACCAAAATAATTACCCTAGAAATGGTGTTTATAATAATAAGGCGTTGAAAGTAATTCACCAACGTAAACTGTAGTGCTTGGGCCCTGCGGTGGATTGTAAATTCCTTATTAAATAAGTTTATTTATTATTAACTGACTTCTCAAGGACATAAGAATAAAACTTGTGCGCTGTGGTAGAGTGTAATTCCATTATGGGTAAATTTTGTTTTGATAAAGTCTCACAGTGTTATACAGTAATGTTTACTGATGACGTTTCGAGCACAATTTATTGCTCATAATCATATCAAGGTAATCACACGACTTCCTAACTTCATTTATATAGTTCCATTGTTTTTCTCTTGATTTTCACTTGATTTGATTGGCAGTAGTATTTTCCATATTTCGCGTAAAAGTGATGAATCATTTCTATTGCATGTGTTGGGTGTAGACTCGATAAACAAGGATTCAGTAATCAACCTCTCTCTCCACCTATCTAGATTACTTTTTAGAATTTTAACCCTCTCCCACCCTATTGTGTGGTTGTGTGTTAATGCATGCATTGCAATTTCTGAGCTTTTTTCTAAATAACTTATCTTCTCGGGGTCAACCATTCTCACCTTAGCTAAATTCTTATATTCCGACAATCTGACTACCCCTGACTTACTAGTTTGACCTATGTAGTTGACCTCCTTGTTCATCGAGTCTACACCCAACACATGCAATAGAAATGATTCATCACTTTTACGCGAAATATGGAAAATACTACTGCCAATCAAATCAAGAGAAAAACAATGGAACTAATAAATGAAGTTAGGAAGTCGTGTGATTACCTTGATATGATTATGAGCAATAAATTGTGCTTGAAACGTCATCAGTAAACATTACTGTATAACACTGTGAGACTTTATCAAAACAAAATTTACCCATAATGGAACTTCCCAAGGACAACTTACTGCTCGAATCATATTATTTTCGTGCGATGTGTTTAATAATACGTCACACTATGAGTCTAATGAGATCACATACTGCGCTAAGCTTCCTTTATTAGAGTTTTGAAATCGGAGTAATTTAGTCGAATTTATGACGCGTGTATAACGATGATTTGATTCAAAATCATTTCTTCTCATATTTACACCGGTATAACAGCAGGACTTCAAGTGAACATAGGTAAAACGGAGGTGATGAAGATTCCTGGGCAACACCACCACCAACAACAGACGACAGTCAGCATAAATGGGAGGAACCTGAAAGAAACAACCTCCTTCACCTACCTATCTACCTGGGAAGTATCGTTTCAACTACAGGCGGAACTGACGAGGATATCAAAGCCAGAATCGGAAAAGCAAGACAGGCTTTCATTACCCTTAAGTCTCTGTGGAGGTCAACATCACTCAGCGTCAAAATTAAGGTCCGGATTTTCAACTCCAATGTGAAGTCAGTGCTACTTACCACACGGATCAGAGACTTGGCGCGTCATGAAGAGCATCTCAAACAAACTTCAAACCTTCATTAACAGTTGTCTTCGCTCAATACTCAAGATCAGATGGCCAGAAAAGATCAGCAATAGGTATATTTGGTAATGAACGAACCAACCCCGAAGGAACCGATTGTGCAAGAAATGGAGGTGGATTGGCTATACTCTGAGAAAACCATCAAGTGACATCACTAGACAAGCCCTTGAGTGGAACTCGAAAGGGAAGCGGTGAGTTGGTCGTCCAAGGGTGACTTGGAGGAGGTAGTGTGAAGAGGAGATGAAAGCATGCGGAGAGACTTGGAGCGGGGTGAAAAAGTTGGCAGAAAACCGAACGCAATGGAGACGCGCGGCTGAAGTTTCATGTTCCGCTAGGAATTAAGGGAAATAATAATATGTGTAGTAAAGCGATAATATGATTCAAAATCATTTCCTCTAATATTTACACCGGTATAACAATAGTGAAGTAAGAAAACACAAACGCCTTAATAAAAATAAAGGCATCTATATCACATGTAGAAAAAGGACTAAAAGTTTTGTATACAAAAAAAACTAGAATAATAATTGTTACAATTTAGAAAAAAATATCTATGAGAACACTAAAATAGTATGTATGTACCTGTTTATGTTTTGAGAGTAGACAGATAGTATGGTTTCGTAAGTGTTGTCACAGGTTGTGATATCTGTTTGATGTTATAGTTTGATGCTTCAGAGACAAGAACATTGTTCACTTCTGTTAGAAGTTCAAGAATGTGTAACCTATGCCCATGTAGTCTAGTTACTTCAACAAAAACTTTCACATACCAACTTCCATCTGTCTCTGATCGCCAAGATACAAATCCAGGCAAAGTGGAGTATACAATTACACAATCACTCATATGCGGTAATGATAACCAAGAATTAGGATCTAATGATACTTCACAGGAACTTAATAATAGAGAATCTGAAAAATCACGTTTTACAAGACCATTATGACAACGTTCTTCACCTCGACAAGCTTGTATTAGTATTAGTTTAGGTTTTCCAGCTAAAAGAGGACATTTTTTGTTGGTGAAACAACCAACCAATTCATCAATACTAACATAAGTACCATCACTTGCTATGATATGATGTTCCAGGCCATGTGCAAGGATAATAAGAACACCTGCATGGACATTACGATGTTCTGATTTACAGGAGAATTCTTCCACTACTCTTTTTAGATTTCCACCTGTAAGGTCTTTAACAACAGCAACACTGTAATGGAAGTCTTCAAAAAGACGTTGAAGTTTAGAAGCATCTTGAGATGAACCATGACGACTAGGTACACCAGACTCACGAGTATACTCTTCAATATTGATTATGAGAACATAGCCATGTGGAGATGAAGTTACAGTGTACGGCGTCAATGGATGTATGTTCACCCTATCTGGGATCATGAGACTTTCATTTCTTTTATCAGAATGACATTCTGTTGAACTAGGTTTTTCGTCTGGAATGTTATTCTTCTCCGTTTCATTCATGACATCATAAATATCCTGTTGATTGGTTTCTAAAAGTGCACTTTTAAATTTGTCATAAGCGAGTGGACCACATCTCACTATAATATCTAAGAATTTGCGTATTTTTTCCGCAATTGTTGTCGCACAAAGTATTGATTGCCGTTGATTTTCTGTAATAATCATAGACGATTCAAGTATATCCAAGATTTCTTCCAAGCTAGAAATATTCTTCACAAAATAGACGCGTAACTTTCTGATAACATCACGATGCTGTTTCTCCATAATAACAGTAATAGTTGAAAATCTGTTCGGTTAATATTTCACACAGTTCACTTAGGTCAACAATGAAAGAGGATGCAAAGAGAGTTGAGAAAGGAGATGACAATTCTTCTTTTCATATGGAAAGCATTAACCTGAAACAAAGAAGATGCGAGTTATATATATATATATAATCCCACGAAAGTTATATCTTAAATTTCATCCCAAAAAACAATTTAATTCTCGAACAAAGAGGGCGGAGACGAAATGGCTATGCATAAACTAACCTAGCAGATGTGATTTTAGAAGTCGTCGCAATAATTTTTCACTGTTTGACATACCTAATAAACAAATTAATATGGAATTACATATTACTACAGTGCACAAGTTTTACACGTATATTAACCAGACAACTAGAGTTAAGTAAAAGGAATAACCCTCATTAGGCGAATTACCTACATAATAATAAGATAGAAAGGGTGAGTGTAAGGTGCTGCCGTCGCGCAACCAGTTAGCTACATATAATGTATTGCCACATTGGAAAGAAAGGGTTAGTAACTCCAAAGGTGTATATCTTGCTTCGTTACAATAGTTCCGTACCCAATAGGTAGGGTTATCCAAATAATCAAGACTCCTTAAACTTAATCTGAAAACGGAGACTAAATATGGTCTAACTTAAAAGACATCTGCGTTTATAGGTAAAGCTAAAGTAATCCTGTTTTCACTAAACATACTTCACATGACAGTCAGCTGCCACGGCCTACGTAACCAAGAAATATCGACTCCGTACGCACCTCCATCAAAAAACAGTAGCTTTACAACCTGTTACCTTTGTCTTTTGATTTCCGTCAAAACTAACCGGCTTTTTCCAGTGTTAGAACCACTTGCCACAGTTTCGCCATGTTTATCGAATTTTGCAAACTGGACCGAATTATAAAGACGGAAGTTAACACAATCTACGTCAGTGCAAGTTGTCATGCTTTTGAAAAGCATACTACAGTGAGGAAAGGAAACATAACAAGACCACAGCAAACGAAAATGCCAGGGAGAAAGAATTGTTAGGTGAAGATTAGTACAGATTTTTCAGAATCTGGAAAGTGACAAGCATTATTGTCAATGGTTTTGAACCATGTTACCAATAGTCTAAAACAGTTGATTCTTGGTATCCTGAGGACTCTAACCAAGCAATCTATATGCCCATACATGTATCGAACCTGCAGTAAGAGATCACTCCTAAATATTCTCCAGCTAAGCATTGTTTAAATCATCATAGCTAGCAGAGAGAAACGATGGCTTCATTTGCGTAACATATTTCCCAACCAATTTTTACAATGGAGCTTGATAAAGCAACTATTGCTAAATAATTTGAAAAACGAAATAACATTTCCAGTCCCTTAAAGTTGTTAAACAATTATATGCATGAACTTCTAGTCGTTATGTCATATTGGTCGACCAGCTCTACTTACCAAATTTATTTTATTCAAAACAAATTTCATTGTGTAATTATGAAAAGGTGAGATTCACAGGAAAAAATAGACGATATAAGTGAAAGAGAATAGAGTTAGTAGACAACAGAATGAAACAGAACGGGTGTAAGCACATTTATCAAAAGCATTGAAAGGAACATTTACTATTCCGATATTAGTTTGCTAATTGGACAAGTAAGAATGAAACAGTATGATTTAATGCAATGAGGTTTCGAACACAATTTGTTGTTCATATTATAACTTTGTATCACTTCAGAAAAAGAAAGCGGAGAATGCCAGCATGTTAGTTATATATTTCAACTCTTAGTCATATCTGATAATGTGTCAGGCTTAATATCCCGACCGAAAGCTGCTACCTTGACGTGGTGGTCGGGCTTGAACACCGCAATGACCTAATCAAGCTATACTGGCTGAGACTTATGTCTCTTGAGGTTCTACCATGCCAGGCAGGTTGTTTGGATAGCGGTTAAACAAAAAGCAGCTACCCATCCAATACCATGATCAAACAAATTCACAAAATTTCATGCCGGATCGGCCGTGGCCCGGATTAACAACGACCGCGCTTCCTGCTGCCGTGTCACAGGGCAGGAGTGATAAGTATGCTACTGAGGCACACCAAACAAAAACAGGCCGCGTGTGACCGGCCTCAAGCAGTTGTCCCCTGGGCTCTGCGGTCACGCAACCAACTTCCACGGTGTGGGCAGCCGGGAAGTAACAAACGCCCTCACAATCCAAAATGCACACAAAACCTCTCTAATCCTCACTTATCTTTGTCTTCATCTTCATCTCTATTACCTTGCCTTCCTCCCACTGATGCAACTCCTCTACTTGATGGCTCCTCACTCCCTCTTCACTCTGTGTCCACTAAAAACGACGAAAGCCAAAAAACCACCGATAGTCTCCTAAAGCCACGCCACCAATTTCATATAGGAGCATTTAATGTTAGGACACTTTGCCAAATAGGACAACAAGCATCACTAGCTAAGACCCTGGCATCCGAGCCATTGATGTATGTTGTGTTTCAGAAACACGCATACAAGACCCAAGTGTGGTTATTCACCTAACCCCACCTGGCCAACAGGATGAATCTTCAAAATTCACCTTGAGGGTGTCAGGAGATGCCACAGCTAGTTCACGAGGATTAGCTGGCGTAGGGATAGCTTGAGTACTAGGGCAGAAAAGACATTGCTTGACTGGATCCCGGTAGATAGCCGAATGTGTGCTGTCCGTCTGAACGGATCAGTAAGAAGGAGAAAGGACTGCACTACTCGCCGATGCCTTTTCGTAATCTCCGCCTACGCCCCCACTGACTGCAGTTCGGATGAAACGAAGGATGAGTTCTACCAAAAGCTGTCTAGTTTGGTGAGAAAGGCTAAACGCTCAGATATAGTCGTTCTAGCTGGTGACTTTAATGCTCAAGTAGGGAAATTGTGTCAATCTGAGAAGGATGTCGGTGGCACCTATGGAGTTCCGTGCCAGCGAACCGACAACGGTGACCGTCTCCTACAGTTCTGTTCAGATAATCATTTGTTTCTTGTAAGCACTAACTTTAAACACAAGGAGAGACACTGTTTAACCTGGCGACCCCCATCATCAAACCAACGCTGGACACAAATAGACCACATAGCAATAAGCTATCGTTGGCGTGGGTCGGTAGGAGATTGTCGCTCCTTCTGGAACACGTGTGTAGATACCGATCACGCACTGGTCCGGGCTCGTGTGTGCTTACGACTGAACGGACGTAGGAAACAGCTGGCGGTAAAACCATCACGTCCCCAGCTCGATCAGGAAACTAAATCCCTATTTGAGGAAGAACTAGCTAAACGCATATCTGAATTCGACAGCTGTGCTCACCCTGGAGAAGCCTGGAAGAATATTCAGTCAGCTATAGATACAGCTGTAAAAGCTGTGAATAAGGCAAATCCAAAGGTGAGTAAAAACCACTGGATTTCGACTGCCTCATCCGAACTGATAGATGCTAGAAGACTTATTCCGGCGAGCTCCGAATTCAATGAGGAGCGAAAGCTGCACAAAAGGAAACTTACTAAAAGTCTCCGCAAGGACCGTGAACAGTGGTGGGTGACAAAGGCGAAAGAGATGGAAAAAGCATCGGCGATAGGCAACACTAGGCAACTCTTTAGACTCATCAGAAACGGGGGGAGAAGGCAATTCATAAGTGAGACTATTTCTGAGAAAAATGGCTCCTTAATTAGCTCTCAGGATAGACGCCTTGAACGCTGGAAAGAACACTTTGAGGAACAATTTAACTTGCCTACAGCCACACTGAACCTCCCCGCCATCCACCACGTACCCGAATGGGATATAGACACTGGTCCGCCGTCTGTAGGTGAGGTTACAAAAGCTATCAGTAATTTGAAACGAGGCAAAGCGGCAGGACCCGACGGAATTATTCCGGAGGTGTTTAAATATGGGGGTGACATACTAGTTTGTAGATTAACTGAGGTACTAGGCAAAGTCTGGGAATCAGAGACAGTACCATCAGACTGGGGTAAGTCACTTATTATACCGATATTCAAGAAGGGAAACAAGTCCTCGTGTGATAATCATAGGGGGATCAGCCTAACGAACATAGTCTCTAAAATCCTAGGCTCAGTAATCATGCATAGACTAAGCAGAACTCGGGAGGAACAGACAAGGGAAAATCAAGCAGGCTTTAGACCAGGTAGAGGGTGCATAGATCATATCTTCACTCTTCGACAGATTCTAGAACATAGACACACTTTTCGGCGTCCAACAATTGTCATATTTCTTGACTTGAAGGCGGCCTTCGACTCCGTGGATCGAAAGGTACTATGGCAATGTCTGACTGTGAAGGGAGTGCCAAGAAAGTACATTGCACTAATCAAGGCACTCTATTCAAACTCACGTAGTCGTGTAAGGGCTTATGGGGAATTGTCATCTGAATTGGTAACAACCAGTGGTGTCCGACAGGGATGTCCACTTTCCCCATTTCTGTTTAACTTCATCATAGATATGCTGATGGAAGTATCCTTAACTGAACGTAATGACTTAGGAATCGACTTGTTACCAGGGAATAGTCTTATGGACTTAGAATATGCAGATGACATAGTCCTGTTAGGGGAGGATGCTGACAAAATGCAGAGTCTTCTGAACACCTTGAGCAGCAATCTTCGTATGTTTGGCATGCGATTCGCCCCTGCAAAATGTAAGATGCTGCTACAGGACTGGACTACGTCAACTCCTAACTTAGTGATAGGGAGTGAAGTGATAGAACATGTTGACCACTTCACCTATTTGGGAAGTTGTATTAGCACCAACGGACTGATTGGCGATGAAATCTCAGCACGGATCCGAAAAGCTCGAGCTGCTTTCGCTGACTTACACCATCTCTGGCGTAGGCGTGACATCCGGTTATCAACCAAGGGACGTGTGTACTGCTCATCAGTTCGCTCCGTCCTTCTCTATGGCTCTGAAACATGGCCAATACGCGTTGAAGACATGAAAAGGTTGACTGCTTTCGATCATAGATGTCTGCGATCTCTGTCTCACGTTAGGTGGTTTCACAAGGTAAGTAATGTTGACGTTAGGCGTAGAGTGTTGGGCAAAGAGGGAAAATCAATCGACGAGGCTATAAAGTTACATAGACTAAGATGGCTAGGTCACGTGCTGCGCATGCCTAACCACCGCCTCCCCCGACGGGCATTACTAGCTGATATAGGTGCAGGTTGGAAAAGAGCCAGTGGTGGCCAAACAAAAACATGGCCTCATCAATCCATGAAATCCTTGACAGTTAAACTGAGTCAGGTAGGGAGATGCAGACTCCCGGGTTGGGGCCCTCGGGACTCTAGGAATCAATGGCTGGAGACAATAGGTGACATGGCTCAAAATCGTTGTCAATGGCCAGCGCAGATGTATTCAGTCTCTGTAATCTTTCATATTCCTTTCTACCATTACCCATTCTGTTTCACTCTTATACTTGTCAGACTGTATTGATTCTCTTCACTCATCTTCTTGTCTACCTCTGTGTGCTATTTGGAACGTGGCAACTCGAACTGGTGCACTTGGGTGCCAAGTTCTATGTTGAATCCAGACAGAGAGGCTTAATATCCTTGCCTCACAGAGATACGTAATAAACAGACCGCTTTTCCCATACAGTCTCACCGAAAGAAGATAGTGAACGGGATGGCACATGCAGAGGTAAAATTTACTGCGAAAGTCCAAAACACCAAAGCTAGTGGCCCAAGGTGACATCATCTATTGAAACACGTGCACACTAGCCTTGGAATTACTTGCATGAAACTCCGCCAGATGCAAGGAGTTTTAGAGAGGTGATTCGACACAGAGTTGTCGCAAATACTCTCCTAAGAAGTTAGTTTACAGACACAGACATAGAGGTGGCACAGATTGGCGTAAGCTGCTCTACTTTTCACCGAAATATAAATTTTATTCACAAAATTTCCATCAGTAGTCACACAACTGTCTAAATACCCTAACCTTTTCAATATACCTAACGGTCGACTTGCAAGGAAGGGAAAATCAGGGACCTGCAAATCTTGCGGCAGTGGCTTTGTTAGGACACCACTTATGGTAAAAATAAGGTTTCATATCAGTCTTGACACAAATATACTTTATGGATGAGAAACTTGGCCGTAAAACACAAGTCTATGAAGGTTATGAATAACTGATCTTCATTTTTTACCTCACTTTAAGCAAAATCATCAAGTGACCAAGGCCGAATTTATCTCTAAAATAGAAGGTAAAATGGATAAACTAGTCAGAGAGGTTACTAATTACCGTAAACTAAGATGTTTAAAACACTCAAAAAGTTAATATAGTAGGGTCTAATGGATCCGTCAAATTTCGGCAGAATTCTTCAGCTGGATATTCCACATACAGGGAAATAAAACTAAGACAAAATGAATTACGGTTCAATTACACCACTTAAATAAACAATTAGTTATCAGTAACTGAAAGAACTTGAATACTTCATGATTTCCAAACTACATAATGTTGATAATAACAGTAACGCTGGTAATGGTAACAATAATAATGTTAAAACGAGTTGAGATAATGCTAATGATAAGAGGTAGTTTTAATGAATCAGGAGTAGTAAAAATAAGAGGTAGGATAAAACACTAATAGTAATAATGATAACAGTTAATCCGTAAAACATAACCATGGCAGATTCAGAGTAACCTACATTTCCTTTTGTACACAGACATCCTATTTATAAACTAACTGCATAGGCCTTCACAATTGATTTTTCGTCTGTTGACCATACTGAATGACCGAACAGAGTCACATCATGTCCGTAGTCCAGAGGATATTTGTTAAGTTTGTTACGAAAGGCATCTTATCACTTACATGCGCTTTATTAACAGCAGTAGGACTGCGCCGGAGGATACATAAGAAGAGCATGACATAAAGAACCAAAGAATAAAACATCGAATATTGTTTAAACTGAACTTCAGATACTGTTAAATATTCCCACTAATACACCTTTAAGACTGTAGGGTGCTGAAGAGCTGTCAGTCTTTAGTACCCAACTGGAAGAGGCATTTTTTCAACTTCTTGGCAAACATGAGTAATTCAAGAACATACTGGAGTATTGACATCTATTTGACGAGGACCTTGGTCAGTACTGAGTACCAGTGAAGTTAATTTGTCCCACAGTTTCCCCGGGTTATGGCTGCATTGCAATATTTATGCATCACTTCTAACCACTGTTACTTAAAATCAGTGACAAATTACTATTTACGTGAATACTATTTATATCTTCACTGAGTTGCCATTCACATTTAATTTAATGCAGCACACCAGCACAACCAATTGAAGCTGCTTACGATGATACTAATTCTATCAGCCTATCAGACTTAAGAACTGAAGTATGATAAACTTTCATGGATTTAGCCTAAACGCTTCTCTACGCCTAGGAGTAAACCACCGCAAGAAGTTAACACGATACACTATAAATAAAAAAGAGTGTGTAATCCGTAATTTAAGGGTCAGCTGTTTAAGCATAATTTTACTTGAAAACGTATGTTTTCGAAATCATAACTTCCGAACGAAACCTTGAGTACCGCAGCTGTTGAAAAAGTGTCCAGAATCATACAAATACAATATCCAATAGTTTTGTGAATTCCCTGTAGAAAGTAGTTCTAATAATCTTTTCGTGATCACATATTGTTGTTTCGGAACGATTCTAGATTTTTATTAGGTGAAGTCAAGATATGTCGTTGCGAACGCTGCCATGCCCCTGAATGCGTGACAGTCGTTGGCTAACGAATACTTTCATTAAAAAGCGCAAACATGAAGGCTACTCAACCGCCAGGGAGCAAATTTCACCAACGTCACCTTATGAAGTACTGTTTAGCAATGTGTCTACGTTGCAAGAGGACCACAACAAGTTGTCAGAGTGCTCCATAGAATGGATGCTCCTTATCAATGTGGCGAAATGTGCAACCATGCGCATTGGACAAGCAAACACCAGCTCCTACGAACTAGAGGGAATAACACTTCCATCACTTCAGACTCATTCGGACTTAGGTGTCATAGTTAGC